CTTGTATCTCCACACTCCCCCAGCCTGTACCCCCTGAGTACTTGAATTGAAGGCATGCACTTTTTTTTTTTTTTTAATCTTTTTGAGACAGGGTCTCTGTGTAGCCCCAGCTGTCCTGGAACTCACTATGTAGACCAGGCTGGCCTCAAACTCAAAAGATCTGCCTGTCTCTGCCTCCCAAGTGCTGGGATTAAAGGTGTGTGCCACCACACCGGGCAAAAAAAAGACCTTTGTTGTTGGGGACAGTGGGCACATCTACCCCTCGTCTAGTATTCCTTACTATAGGGGATTGATAGCCAAACAGTTAAATGTTTTAATTAACTATTTGGTAGCATGCTTATCCTACTTCCCCAACTCCACTGTAGCTTTTGTTTTTCCTAGGGTGTTTGTCCTGTTGACTTAATGAGGTAAGTGCCCACTAAACATCTGAGAGGGAGAGGACCTGTTAAGTGTGAGTAAACACAGGCAGTTGCAGCATTTACAAGATGATATATTGTTGGGCAGGTAGAAATTGTTAGAGGAAAATGTTCTTTCAAGGGGTTAATGACAAATAGCCCCTTTAATATTATTAGGAAGTCTCAGTACTGTTGGACACCTCCCCTCAAGTGAACTATTACACTTAAATAAATAATCCTATATGGTTGTAGAAGTCTGGTGGTCCCAGTATTTGAAGAACATGCTTCAATAAAAAGGACACTTTCAGTCTTTATGGCTGTTACAGTTTTCTTTGATGGGTAATGAAGTTGAAGCACCTTTGCTCATGTCCAAAGTTCTCCCAGTTCCATTTGTCCTGAGCCCTCATCTTCCTTGTTTGCACCTCCCACAGCATCTCAGCCAGCTCTGTAGTCTCACAGGTTCCAAAGGTGGTTCTTTGTGTCATTCCAAGCTAGAAAGTTTGGGGGTGACCTGGGCTTCGTTTCCCATTCCCGCAGTCTTTGAGATCTGTTTATTCCCATATAGATTCCCCAGTCTCTTCCTGACTTGCTCCAGTCTCCTGTTTGATTTACTTTGAAAATGTTGTGTTCTTGGCTTATTATTTTTAAAACAGGTGTCTTACAGCCTAGGCTGGCCTCAAACTCACTATCTCCATTTCCCTAGTGCTGGGATTACATGCCTGCAAACTGCACTTTTTTAAAAATCATTTTAATTTCAGGGGATTGTGGGCTGAGTATATAGCCCGGTGGTTCTGTGCTTGCCTAACATTCCTAGTACCAAAACCAAAACTAAAACCTCCAAAATTTTCAAGGTATTTTAAGTCAGTCATGCTATTAGCAAATGGTAATTTTACCTTATTAGTATTTTAAAAAATAACTTACATACTTGGACTATATGCTCGTTCAAATTTTAGATCTGTGTTCCTTAAATGGGACAAGTTATTTTCCATATGCTTAAGGACCACTTGCTCTCCAGGCCCTTCCTTAGAGAATACCTCTGGCCTTAACAGCGTCTTGCCACTCAAAATGAAAGCCCTCAGAGCACTCTTGAGTGCTCAGTTGAGGAGCTATGGTTACTTGGCATTCATGTCTCATGCCACACAGTCACTAAAGAACGCTGGTCCTGAGTTCTCCCTTAATGAATCCATCTCTGTGCCTGCTAAGTTCCTGTGCACCCCCGCCCACTCTGCATCCCTGTCCACCCAATACATCCGTTACTGGTACTGTGCGCTCATCTGCTCCTTGGTTTCCAGCCTTTTGCATTCGTGTTTTAAAAAGCAACTGAGAATTCACATTCAGTCCACCCATTAAAAGCACATAATTCATAAATTTTAGTATGTTATAGGGGCGACCATCGCCACCATCTAATTATAGAAGTTTTTGTGTTAAACCTGTTTCCACAAGTAGCCCCTGCGCCTCCCGCACCGACCCAAGACCCTGAACCCTGGACCCAGCCACCAGCGCGAGGACCTTACAGGGACCACAGTCTCGCCCTGCGCCTGCCTCCCGGGTGCCCGCGTTGGGGGTGGGCATCCTCTGCAGGGCACCCTCGCGGCACCGCGTGCGTGGGCGAGGGGTCGCTGGGGGCGTAGTCGGCGCGGCGCGGCTGGGGGCGTGGTCGGCGCGGCTAGGGGCGCTGGGGGCTCAGTGCGGGGGGAGATCCGGGGGCGGGGGCGCTAGCGCGGCGCATGCGCGCTGCATTGTTTTGACTGAAAATGCCGTCGGTTTCGAAAGCCGCGGCGGCGGCGCTGAACGGGTCCCCCCCGCAGACCGAGAAGCCGACCCACTATAGGTCAGTGTCCGGGCCACCGCCTGTAGTCCGCCTGGACGCCGGGACGCAGGGGAGCGGCCTGTGAGAGCCTGGGGCCCGGGTGTTGCCGCCGAGGGTGCGCCCCGCCCGCGCTCCGGTCGCCGGCCCCTGCAGGTCACGCCGAGCGCGCGCGGGCCGCCGCCTGGGGTCCAGAGGCGGTGCCCAGGGTCTTAGGTGGCCCCTGGCTTGGGGGCTGGGCGCGCGCCCAGACTCGGGGGTCCTCGCTCCGCTGACTGGGGAGTGGGGAACACTGCCTGCATTTGGGGCTCAGGTCCGCTTCTGGGCTGGATATGGACGTAGTACCATCCGGACACGGGCAGCCACCGCCTGAAGTCGAGAGGCGGCGCCCAGCGTCTAGGGTAGCCTCTGGGTTGACGGCGGAGGCCTGGGTCGCTTCTGCTCTGCAGAAGAGGGTTACGCCTGGTGTGTGCAGGTGGCGCCTATGGTCCGTCTGGAACCTTAGAGGGGAGTCGCGCCTAGGGTCGGGGATGGAGGTTTGGGTCTGGGGAGTACTGGGTTGTAGCGCTTGGGCTCAAGGGACAGCCCGGAGGGGGCGGGAGACGGGGCCGGGCTGTCTGGAGTTATCTGTGCTCTGAGTTGGGGGTGGTGTGCTGGGAAGAAGGTCTGCGCTTGGAGCCCGGAGACCACGTCTGGGGACTGGGAGGTGGCGCCTAGCGTCAGGGGGACAGTGCGGGGTGGGCAGGGGATGGAGTCCGGCGGTCTGGAGTTATCTGGGGTCTGAGTAGGGGGTGGTGCCAGGGTTCGGAAGGTTGTGCACGGCCGAAAGGGGAGGGGACTGGGCAGGGCTGTGGGAGTCTGCTGAACTCCAAGAGGGGGAAGCTGGTGCCCTGCGCCCTACTCCCCACCCCCCGCGTCCCAGGCGTCGCCCCAACCCTGTTTGTCTTTTTAGGTATCTAAAGGAGTTTAGGACAGAGCAGTGCTCCCTGTTTTTGCAGCACAAGTGCAGCCAGCACAGGCCGTTCACCTGTTTCCATTGGCATTTCCTAAATCAGCGTCGGCGCAGACCACTCCGACGGCGCGATGGTACCTTCAACTACAGTCCGGACGTGTACTGCTCCAAATACGATGAGGCCACTGGCCTGTGTCCCGACGGCGACGAGTAAGTGGGACTCGGAGCATCCATGAGTGGCCGCCAGCCTCTCCCCAGGAGGGGCCTGGGGTCAGCTAGTTCTCCAGGTTCCTGGTCCTTTTCAAATACCTGCCACCTGCAGAGGGGACCGGTTTCCTTAAGGATTCTGTGTGTTGTAGGGAAAATCTTTGGTAATTAAAACTCATTTAAGATTCACTTTCCACCCTTACTTCATTCGCCCAACACTGTAAATATAGGCCTGCGATTTGAAGCCACTTGATTTAAGACTGTTTTGCTTGGTTAATTGCTTTTCTGTCAGAGTAGGTGCTCACATGTAGGTGTGGAATCTTTCCTTGCTGTTTACCTGTGTATTTTGAAGAAGGGTAATGGGACTCTCATTCTGACAGGTCTGATGTATAAAATGATATTGCTTCATTGTTTTTGTTTTTTTTTTAAACTGTGGTACTAGGGATGGAATGGGCCTTGCATATGCTAGGCAAAACATTCTCCCACTGAGTCACATCTCCAGCTCTACTTATTTTAATGTAAAAAAGTGGTAGGAAAATAATTTTATTTGTGCATTGTCACTTATGTAACACTCAGAATTTAAGAAGTTGATATTTAGCTGGATGTGGTGGTGTATGCCTTTAATCCCAGCATTCAGGAGGCAGAGGCACTAGGATCTCTTGAGTTCAAGGCCAGCCTGGTCTAGCCTGGTCTACATAGTGAGTTCCAGGACAGCTGGGGCTACAGGGAGACCCTGTCTCAAAAAAACCAAAAAAAAAAAAAAAAGTTGAGATTTTGTTAGGGTTTGTTTATGTCTTATGAGTTTCCTAATGGTATTATGAACGAATGTCTGTGTGTGTGTGTGTGTGTGTGTGTGTGTGTGTGCACGTGCACACCTGTTTGGGTGTGCAGGTACACAGTGTGTGGGTGTGCTTATGCCCATGTGTTTCATGTATATGTGGAGGCCAGAGGTCAACTTAAGATGTCATTCCTCATCTTGTTTTGAGATAGGATCTCTCATTGGCCTGAAGCTAATAAGTAGGATACGCTGGCCAGCAAGCCCCAGAGATCCATCTGTCTCTGCCTCCCCAGTACAAGTGTGTATACCACACCCAACTTTTTTATGCAGGGGATCAAACTTGGGTCTTTATGCTTGCAAGGCAAGTACTTAATGACTGAGTCATCTGTCCAAATCTAGATGTCTTTATTTTGAAATATGAAGACAGAATCAGACTGTTCACCAGATGGTGGAATGTGATATCAGGAGATTTTACCTTATTCCTGTAGCAGTTAAGGAGTGCACAGGGGTAGCTGCTTCTTGCCTAGAGGTGAGGTAGCAGTCACTGTCCTTTTTTTGCGGGGGGGGGGGCTTTTTGAGACAGTGTCTCCCTGTAGCCCCAGCTGGCCTAGAACTCACTATGTGGACCAGGCTGGCCTTGAACTCACAAGAGATCCTCCTGCCTCTGCCTCCCAAGTGTTGGGATTAAAGGCATGTGCCACCACACTTGGATATAGTCACTGTCCTTAAAGCCTGAAAACTGGGGCTGGAGAAATGGCTTAGTGGTTAAGAACACTGGGTGTTCTTGAAGAAAACCCAGGTTTGAATCCCAGCACCTACATGGCAGCTAACAACTGTCCATAACTCCAGTCCCAGGGGATCTGACAGCCTCTTCTGACCTCCATGGGCATTGCACAACATGGATGCACTTACCTACATGCTGGCAATACACACATACACATAAAATTAAAAAAAAAAAAAAAGCCTGAAAACCTAGTCTGACACTTTAAAGGGATCTGGCTCCTCACAGGCATTCCATTTTTTTTTTTAAAACCCCTTCTGTAGTCCAGGCAAGTATTGAAATCTCAGTAATAGGGCTGGAGAGATGGCTCAGCAGTTAAGAGCACTAGCTGCTCTTGCGTAGGACCTGGGTTTGGTTCCTAGCACCCACATGGTAACTAATAACCATCTGTAACTCCAGTTCCAGATCGAGCGCCTTCTTCTGGCTTCTTTGGGCATTTCACAGCATGGGTGTATTCACATACCTGCTGTATGCAAGTGTTCATAAACATAAAACAAAAATAATAAAAATTTTAAAAATTAAAAATTTCTATTACAATCATATGGAGTTGTGGTGGTAGATTGTGGGGTGAGAGGAAGTATAGGGATTTTTGTATGTATGTTACTGGGAATGAGCCCAAGGCCTGGCACATGCTAGGCCAGCCCTCTTCCACTGAACTACATACTACTACATATTTAGCCTCTACTCCCTCCTTTTTTAACTGGCCTGGGAGTGAAGATATCACTGCCACCATGCCTGTCTACCTCCTCCCCACCCTTTTTTTGGGGGGGGTGTCATTTTGAGACAGGGTCTCCCTGTAGCCCCAAGTGTCCTGGAACTCACTATGTAGACCAGGCTGGCCTTGAACTCAGAGACCCACCTGCCTCTGCCTGCTGAGTGCTGGGATTAAAGGTGTGCGCCACCACGCCCGACAAATGTGATGAATTTTTAAAAAGATAACATTTTACCAGAGCTGCTCTGTTTAATTCCTCCTGAACTGGCTATTTGAAATATGTCTTTAGAAAACAGATGAATGAGCCAATTGTGGTGGTGCACACCTTTAATCCCAGCACTTGGGAGGCAGAGGCAGAGGGATCTTGGTGAGTTCAAGGCCAGCCTGATCTACATAGTGAGTTCCAGGCCAGCTGGGGCTACAGGGAGACCCTGTCTCAAAAAGACTGAAAAAAAATAGAGGAAAAAAGAAAAGAAAAAGAAAACAGGTGAATGTCTCGTTGAGACCTAGGTTCAGTTCCTAATTTTCCATGATTTCTTGGTCACACCTTGGGGCTGCTGCCACCTGACTGAACTCCAAACAGGAATCCTTGGGAAGAACAGTACCAGCTTGTTTGACTGTGTTCCATAGTCTGGTTGGGGATGCCTTGCAGTATTTACTGGTGATGGTTTTAATTTATTAATAGAAATAATATCTTAATAGCAATTCGGGATTCTGGAATTTGAATGTCCTGATATTAGAGCATCTTGCTGCTGGGCATCCAGGTGTGTCTTTCTTAATGGGATGAAGAGTGTTGCAGTGAACACACGAGCCTACAGGTGGTCATCTTTAGCTGTGCTCAAGTGGGAATTGATCATATGCAGTTACATGTTATATATACAGACATGTTAACATGTAGGCTCAGTGGCTTGCAGTTTATCATTGGGAAACCTAACCAGGACTCAGACAGATGCTTGGCAGTTCAGCTTGGGATGTGTTTTGTGTACATGTGTACTTAGAGTCAAATGTGTCTTTTTTTAATATTTTATTATTATTTTTATTTTTATGTGTATGAGCGTATTGCCTGCATGTATGTGAGTGCACTCGTGTCGTACAATGCCGAAGAGGTCAGAAGAGGGCTTCGGATTTCCCTGGAACTGGGGTTAAGGATGGTTCATAGCTGCCATGCGGGTGCTGGGAATTGAACCCAGGTCCTCTGCAAGAGCAGTCAGTGCTCTTAACTGTTGAGCCATCTCTCCAGCCCCCCGTCAAATGTGTCTTAAGAGAGATTTTGTTTATAATTTATCTTGAGCACATGGAATGACTTGCTTCAGCTCTTCAGGAAATATTTGACAGGCTGCCCCTGCTGGAAATCTCTGCTTAGTAATTACTGAGGAGGACTTCCCCTATCACCACACATGTGGAATGATTGGAGTTTGTCCATTGAATTGCATATTTTGGTTCATACAGGGTTGCTATGGAAATTGTAAATAATAGTACCTTCTAGAGCAAGGGCAGCATGAGGTTTTCCCTTTATTTTGGTTTACTGGTTCTTGAAATTCATTATTTTTGGCTTAGTACTACTGTCCTAAATATTTATCTTGTGCTGGGAATTGAACCCAGGGCCTCAAGAATGCTACGCAAACACCTATCTCTGAGCCACATGCCCAGCGCTGTAAACCCATTATTTTAAAACATGAATGTTTCTCAGAGAGCAAACAGGGTGTGGTAAAGTGAGTATCCAGTTAGTCTTGAAATGGTCTGGGCTTACTGTACAACAAGAAGGGGCTCAGGACCCACCCCAGGAGAGTAGGCACTTCTAGATGGGAAGATGTTAGCTGTCCTCAATCCATCCTTGACACTCCTGCTACACCCTTTCCTGGGTGGTGACTCCTCAACCCTGTAGGGCTTTTGGGCCCAGGGTCCATCTCCTTGCTTCATCCAGCCCTCCTCTCTACCTGCCCTTTTTTCTGGTGGGCACACCCCTTTCTCAGCACTGGCCATGATTGGTCACCCCAGTTCCTATAGGAACTGATCTCTCCCTTGTGGACTGGCTATAGGGGCTACCCAGCTAGTTAGCTAGTAGCAGATCCCCCTCCCATTTCCCCTAAGCCAAATATATTGTGGGTTGTAGGGTCATATTCCCACCTGCGTACACCCAGCACAGGTGTTCCTGGGGCTGCAAGCAAAATACCTTTCTGTGTGTGTGTGTGTGTGTGTGTGTGTGTGTGTGTGTGTATGTGTGTG